GTGCTCTCTGAGCTGGGTTGTTTAGTCGTGAGGCTTTCATCGTCCTTCTAGACGACATCATGAGCACTAACTTCAGTATGAAGTGAGCTATCAATATCTCTCCGTCAGTGATTTAGTAGCTTGCCTTGACGAAGTGGTCTGTGATTGGTTGTTTCCTTGAATTGTTGTGTTATTGATTGTATGGATTTTCCTGTTGGCCGTCCCTCTGCTTGACCTCTGACCTTTCTGTCGTTTATCATATTTCTTATTGGTTGATAGATTGGGTTTGTGTCTATACATCTATTGATTGCTGACTGATCTGAATGCCAAGCTTCTAGAAATTCTCTGACATTCTTTGTGTTTCCTCTCTCCGTCCAAAATTTCTACATCGTCGAAATTGAATTCATGTCCATAATTATCCACGTGCATTTCGACAATGTAGAAATTTTGGACGGAGAGAGGAAACACAAAAAATATCAGAGAATTCCTATAAACTTGGCGTTCAGGTCAGTCAGCAATCAATAGGTGTATGGACATAAACCCAATCTACCAACCAATAAGAGAAATGATAAACAACAGAAAGGTCAGAGGTCAAGCAGAAAAATCTATGCAGTCAGTCAATGACACAACAATCGAGGGAAACGACCAATCACAGACCACATCGTTAGAGCAAGCCACTAAATCACTTACGGAGAGATATTGACAGCGCCCTTCATATTGAAGGAGTTAGTGCTGATGATGTCGTCTAGCAAGACGATGAAAGCTTCACGATTAAACAACCCAGCTCAGAGAACACAATACAACCAGGACTGAACAATGTTTCTACACTTATTTGGTTAACAATCAATCAATTTTTCATAGACTATCTCTAATTGCATATTTAATTGAAATTACACAAAAGATATATGAAATAGAGTCTTCTGAGCTTGGATAGGTATTATCAGGTATTATCTATACTGATCCTGAAGTTGCATGGTAGAAAAAAAATCAGCAGAAAAAAAAAGAAATAACAGTAATATTGAGAGTTGTAAGCAGTCTTCAGATGAAGAGATAAATAGAAGATAAAACAAATAACGAAATGTGAAATAATAATGAAAATAACCGTAAATGTATCTATGCCAATATTATTATTAGTCCCTTGGGTTCCTAGTGGAACATAGGGCTTCAGTAGCACGTCTCCAGTGACCTCTGTTCTCTGAGATCTTTGAACCTGGTTCCACGACAGCCCACAACCTCTCATTTCCTCCTCGCACGACCTCCTCCATGTCATCCTCACCACGGACGTCCAACTCGTCGCTTCCCATGGGGATTCCACTCGAGGGCCTGATACGTGATGTCCTCAGTCGGCCTTCTCAGTGCATGGCCAATCCATCTCCACTTCCTCCTGCATATTTGTTGAGTGATAGCTTCTTGGTTGGTTCGTTCCCGGAGCTCCTTGTTGCTTATTCTTTCTGGTCATCTGATCTTCAGTATGGAGCCAGCGTATGCAGTTGTTGATGAGTGTCTGAAGCTTACTGGAAATCCCTTTCGTAACGCACTGCCAAGTCTCTCAACCATCACACAGAAGCACTGTCTTGACGTTGGTGTTGAAAATCCGGATCATGTTCACGCTTTATGCTGAGTGGAGTGCAGAAGATCTCCACACTGGTTTCAGGCTAATGAAGGCCTGTCTTGCTTTTCCGATTCTGACTTTGACATCCTCGTCTGTACCGCCTGTAGTTGAAACAGTGCTTCCTAGATAGGTGAAGGAGGTTACTTCCTTTAAGTTTCTCCTGTTGATGGTGACTGGAGTTTGTTGTTGTTCTTGGTGCGGTATCTTCATCACTTCTGTCTTCTCAACGTTCACTTGAAGTCCCGTCTTCGCTGCCTCTTCTATCAACTTGTTAGTTTTTGCCTGTAGATCTTTAAGTTTATGTGACATCAGGCACAAGTCATCGGCGAAATCCAAGCCTTCTAGGTTCTTTTCCGCAGTCCAGTGTATCCCGCTCTTCTCGCTCTCCACTGTTTGCTGCATGATCTAGTCCACCATAATCAGGAATATCATGGGATAGTAAGCAACCTTGTTTCACTCCTGTCTTCACTTAAAAAGCATCACATCTATGCCAATATGATCAATCCTAACTTATTTCAGGTCGCACAAATTCTCAACTCCAACTTCTAACGGTCACATAAACTCACAAAAACCTCAAGATCTAAATTACCCTATACAGTTCAAATACAATCAGAGACATTGTTGATTGATGACACATCTTGATTCGGCTACTCTTCAACTTTCTTCTAAAGCAAATCTACTTCAGCTGGCAATGTTCACTACAAAAGACAGTGACTGACTGACTTACATATTCCTTACATGATGGTGTCATTATGCACCATAGACATGGTCAAATACCTCAAGAATTTTAAAATCCTTCACTTATTCCTGTAGTGACCCATAGGGGAATTAGTTTGACTAATATTGTGTTCAAGATCCTAAGCTCCATAGTTGTCTGACACCTTAAATGGACCTTGAGAACAGAAAACTCGAGAAAGCGAGGACAAGAGTGAATCGATCATATATTCCCCTGACTAAAAGTCCTAGAATACAGGCATACCTACCGGCTAATGCCCCACACTTCTCATATTTATCGACCAGAAGGTGGTATATGACCTAATTGGCCATGAGATGTGGCAATCTGACCATAAAAGGAGTACCGAGCAAGTATATAGTGCTAATTATAGCTCTCTATTCGAACTTACACAGCTTATAGAAAGTTGTCATGTGAATCGACGACAACTAGTGGTATTCGCCAAGGATACATACTGTCACAGTTTCTACTTAACTTCATCTTAGATGTACTAATGGATACAAACTTAGATATGTCTGACTTAACAGGATTGACCTACTACGTGCAGGTCATCTGGTTAACTTGGAGTATGCAGACAATATTGTCCTGCAAGATGAAGACACCGAAAAAATACAGGAGCTTCTAGATGCATCGACCAAAAATCTGAGTATATTCAGTATCCGTTCCACTGGCATCTGTCAAATTTAAGATGGTGCTCCAGGACTTTTCTGTTTCAGGTACTACTCCAGGTTCAATGATAGGGAGTGAAGTGAGAGGATATGTCAACCGCTTCACTTATAAAGAAGTTGCATCAACTCGAACAAGTTGGTTGCTGACGAAATCTCAATTCGAATACAGAAGGTCCGTTTAGCATTTGTTAACTTGCGTCATCTGTAGCACCGACTGGCAAGATATCTTATCTATCTTCCAAAGGACGAATACACTGTGTTGCACCCCGTTTCATCATGTTACACAGCTGTGATACATGGTCATTAAAAGTGGTTACAGGTATTTGGTCATACGTGTCTTCGCAGCATCGCTCACGTTTGGTAGAATCACTGTGTGAGAAATGTTGAGAACAGACAGAAGAAGGGTACTAGGCTAGGCAGGTAAGTCGGTTGATAAGGTTGTGAACTTCAGTCTACTGAGATGGCTTAGATATTTACAGCGCATGCCAAGTTACCGCCTACTTCGACATTAGTTTGGAAGAGGGTTCAGGGTGGCCAAACCAAGACCTGGCACCAGCCGATGAAGTTCCTAACTGTTAGTCTGAGGCGAAATAGCCTGCCTAACTTGGGTCTCTGAAATGAGGCGAATCGGTGGATGATGACTCTTGGTGACATGGCTGAAAATCGGTCATAAGGTCGCAGATGTATTCACTCCTTGACATCTTCTAGACTTTGAATATTCTCCCAAACCTTCATCTTTAAATTGCTTATTCTCTCTGAAACTAGTCTATCTTTTTGACATCAGTCTTTTTCGATTCACCTGTTTGTACCACTACAAAGTGTGTCAACTTGAGTCATACACTTATGTGCCAGTATCTATGTTGATTTTGTCAGTTTCAGTAGTTATTTGGTAAGACACAGTGCACTCTTGCTCATTACACTCAACTTTTTATATCAAATAGTTGGAAGCAATCGATAAAAAGTCCTAAACCTATGCTTCCTGCTTGTTGGCACTCGCCAGTCACTATAGTGTATCTGTAACTTCGAAAGAAGTGATGTCCAGTAAGAGATTGTAACCCGCATTACCCAGTACTGTAGTCAGGTATTCAGAGTAAGAAATGATCGATAAAATTCCGTCAACACTAAGGACGTGACAACATGAAATTGATTACTCTTCAATAACCATTCAATGTACTAGGCACCTGAATATCTCATCATCGTAATAACTGCAATCAGTTGATAAAAGTTTGGAGTTCATTTCTAAGCCAAATTTTAGTCATTCAACGATTTCACTATGAATAATTAAAACATCCTATCCCCGATTACTTCACATCTAACTGACTGTGCAATACAATTTTTAACTAATATTTTCATATACATTGAAAATTATAAAATAAAACAGAGTATATTTGACTAAATGACAATAATTAATTACTTTAGAAGTAGTATTCATCATAAACTGACATCAGTTGGGGAACTATTGCAAACCTGGGAGAACTGGACAGTTGTTTCATCCCAGTATGGGACCCCTCAGTAGTACGCACCCACGATCTGGCTAGTGGTCGAACTCAGGACCTTCAGGTTTCATGACGAACGCGTCAACCACCCAGCCACTAGGTCGACTTCCAATGGTTCACAATTTCCAACTTCTGTCAATTCACGATATAGTGCGACTATCACCCAGGGTCTTCAGTTAGCATTCGCATCACCCCGTCTGGAGTGATGCGAATGCTAACTGAAGACCCTGGGTGATAGTCGCACTATATCGTGAATTGACAGAAGTTGGAAATTGTGAACCATTGGAAGTCGACCTAGTGGCTGGGTGGTTGACGCGTTCGCCATGAAACCTGAAGGTCCTGAGTTCGACCCCTGGCCAGATCGTGGGTGCGTACTACTGAGGGGTCCCATACTGGGATGAAACAACTGTCCAGTGCTCCCAGGTTTGCAATAGTTCCCCAACTGATGTTGGTGCATGATGAATACTACTTCCAAATTAAAAAAATCCCCATTCATCTCAAAAAGTAATTACTTGTAAATTATTGAACAGGGTAAAGCGTAATTGACGGGAGTTGATGATTGAATTTATAAGACTACTGTTCATGGAATCACCCGCAGGATCATTATTGTTACTAGCACCAGTAGTAGTTGTAGCCGTAGTAGTAGTAGTAGGAGGAGGAGGATATTTAGAAGATTTTACACGTTTCTTTTTTTTACTACCACCTTTACGTTTCTCAGTTGACAACAGTATATCATTCTTATCATTGGTATTATTAGCATTGCTAACAGATGGACAATAAGGTCCCATCAAACAATTCAATGCCATTATATCTTTCATATCTAATGTCAACTTAATGTCTTTATCTAGTTGGTCAACTTGACTTGTTGACAAATTCGTATGTTCTATACTTAAAAGTGTCTTCAATGGACTAAGTGGAAGGATAAACTCATTAATTTGTTGTTGTTGGTTTCTATTCAGTAATTCTTGATTTGTAGAGTTTTTCAGCACAGATGAAGTTAACTCTTTATCTGGTTTTCCTTCTGTATTGCTATTATCTACTAATTTAACATAGTCATTTGAATGATTATCAGTAAATTGTTTTATTAGTGTATTCCATTCCAATATAAATTTGATGATACGTTTAATACCATTTTGTGGTGCAGACCAATCTGGATCAAGACAAACAGCTTGAAGCCAACATCTGAGTGTTTGCCCAAATATACCCTTTAAAAAAAAAATTAAAAGATGTTAAACGGTACAGACATAATTAATTGACTGAAAGAAAGAATAGTCATACCCATACACACACACACACACGTATGGATCCACTGTAAATATGCGAAGGCGATGAACAGAAAGCTTTTTACTTGAAATACACGTTTGTTGAAATAACTCAGAAAAGGTGAAACCTTTGGTTTTCAAGAAATCCTTGTCTTTTTCTAATCATCATACAACCATTGTTCATCTTCACAGTTAATGATATCATTCTTGAGCTATTCAAGATACTGTTAAACAACGGACGAAAAGTACTCAGCACCCTTGTGCACATTCATACATCAGGCAATGAGATACACTTACTGTATGACAGCTAATGATACTGATTGACTTTAAAAACCAACCTAGAAACTGGTAAAATAAGCAATTACATTTCTATGTGTCACCACACGTACATTTGAATTGGTAGATACAATGGGATGTGACATTGTTGTTCACATACTGTGGGGGTTTGGGGGAATATATGGGCTTCGTGGTTTCGATTACTCGAACCCTGGCTGCATAGTAAGTCCTTCTAACAGCATCCTTAAGTCTGCTTAAGGATTGCACTCTAAGAGTCATCTTTGTACGGAAGGCTGATGAAGACATCCTTCTTTGGGACTGACTGCAGTTCTAGTTTTGACACTCTGGTTATTTTGTTCTGCCTGATAAATGTTGATGGATAGATATTTTCCAACAAAATATCTGTCAGTGTTCCTCTTTCATCTTCTAAAGTATCCTCTGTGCATATTCATTGAATTCTGCTGAATAAGCACCTTACTAACGTTTGCTTGTACTGAACTTGGCAAAAGCTATGGTAATTCAGATATTTCCCTGTGCATGTAGGTTTTCTGTGTATAGATGGTTCTCCTTTATCCTATGAGATATTCCTTTCGTATTCTTTTTTTATATCTAAAGCTTTATACTACTTAATATTTTTGAGTAGTATGTTTCCTTATAATGTTGCTTCATCCACAGCCTTGCTGTTCATTCTGTTCAATCGTATCTTGTTCACCAGTTAACATCTGTAGATATTACTATGTTTCACAGTTCATGATGATATTCCCTGATGTTCGATTTTACCCGCACAAAGCGCACGCTCTCCAAACATATCTCGGAGCACTATCCTGCATGGTTGTCGAGGGAGAATGTAAATCAATTAACAGTTCAATTCTTGAACATTTGGTCAACTCTGGACATAAATCTCGACTAGAACCCTCCTTCAGTGCCATTTATCGTGTCAAATCGAATAGTTCAAAAGGAGTACGCCTTCGACAGTTGTGCACAGCGGAGGCACTGGCAATTTATCAATTCTCAAGCCAGATCTTTGTGTACAAAAAAAGTATGTTCAATCTCTCTCATCTTACCATGGTCTTAACACTTTCATTTCTTTCGATTTCATTATAATTAATTAGTTTACTGTTATTATTACCTTCATTATGACCCTTGTCTCATTCTTCACCTTCTTTACATTTATCTATCTGTCTATCAAGTGGACACTCAATATTTGCGTTTCTTATCTACCAACAATGTTCACCTTGTGAAACTCCTCGCCTTCCTTGATATTTCTACTTTGCATTCTTGATTCTGGGTTGTTTTTACCACTAGGTTAATGATGTAATTATATCCTATTGTTTTATAATAGACTGTTTATATGTTTATGATATACATATAAATACGATTGTACAGCTTAGAAAATGATATCGTCGAAAAAGAAATTTTCTTCGCTGAATTATTTCTTCTCTATGCATTTATATCACTATAGGGAATCAATTCAAAACAGTTGTTTAATAGGTTTAGACATACGATGGTGAAGTGCAGAATTGCAACGGGCTAGTCATACTCTCTAAACTACTTTGTTAATTCAGCAGATGAAGATATGAACGAATCACATATTTTAAAAAAACATTATAAGAAGAAAATTAATTAGAATAAAAATACATCGGTGAATATACCTGATAATGCCAAGCTGAACCTCGATTATAATGAAAACTAGGTTCTAATGCTGTTGAACGATCTTTAACAGCCTGTGAATAGGCAGCAAGGCATCGAGTCATAATTATTTGTGATGAAGTTACTGGAGATTTTATAACTGTTGATTCAGTTACAGTTTTATTATTATCATCATTGTTGGCATTTTTTACATTGAATGAATATGATTGAGATATTAAAGGATATGGTGCAATTGAACCATACCTCTTGAAAAACATAGTAAGTAATGCATTACCTAGGATAGACCATGCATGACCATTTGTCGGTTGTTGACCAACTGCTGTATGTGCTAAGTCAACAGATTGACTAAAAATGGATGATTTAGTATATGACTGTGAACTATTCAATTCATTCAATACATTATCATCGTCATTATTATTAAGAATAGGTAGTTGACGTATTACCATTGACAAATGACAAAGTGCATTCACATGTTTTGGCTGGAAAGTAAAACAAACAAAAGAAGTACATAGCATATACTAATGAAATCAATAACAGATTAGTAGAAACAATACACATGAAGGTATAGTTTATTAACTTTCAAGTAATTGATTATTATATTATATTATTTGTCCCTTGGATTCCTAGTGGAACACAGGGCTTCAGTAGCACGTCTCCATTCCACTCTCTTCTCTGCAATCTTTTCAACCTGGCTCCACGACTGTTCACAAGCTCTCATTTCTCCTCACATCATCTTCTCTATGTTACCCTCGCCATGGACGCCCAACTCGTCGTTTCTCATCTGGGTTCCACTCGAGTGCCTGGCCTGGAGCGTGATGTCCTCAGTCAGCCTTCTCAGTGTATGCCTAATCCATCTCCACTTCCTTTTGCATATTTGTTGAGCGATGGGTTCTTGGTTGGTTCTTAGCCAGAGTCAAGTAATTGATGCCATGCTTAAATACTCACTCATAACACCTATTCCGACCTGAATAACCGAGTAGTATCATAAGCTTTTGAGAAGTGCAGTAAGTGTAGCTCAAAGTCTAGTAAATAAATCCATAACAGGTTGCTGTGAAACTTGACCATTTAAAGAAGATGTAGGTGGTTATGTCTTTTCGATCATAAGTATCTCAGTATCATTACTTATACACAATGGAACCAGAGAGTGAGCAGTCAGTTGATAAGGTTATGAATCTACACTGATGGATATGGCTTGTATACGTAAATATATACACATACAGAGCCACTGAATACCCCCCAACAAGTTATCTTACTCGAAGCAGGATAACCTTGTAAAAAACCTAAGCGTTATCACAGCAAAACATAACACCAATCAATGATTCCCTAACTAACGTTGTCCAGACATTAAAAAAAATCAATAGTTGACAAATCTTAGTGATACGACTGGAAATCATCTTTGAACATATTGGTAAATTGCACTTATTTATTCTCATTCTCCAAAATACACTTCTGTCAATTTTTTTTCTATTCACTAGCTTTCAGTATGATTTCATTTTTATTGATGTATTCGATTTTTTCACACAGTGAAGGAACAGTATTGATTACTGGATTACGTTTCGGATATAATTTATTGTCCATAGCCATATCAAGATGATAACATACCTTTGAGATATCCTCCTTTATATAGTCCTAATTTCCTCGCCCCCTTTGCTATATGCGTAGTCACATTTTCCATATATTCGGAACAGATGCTGAGTGATTTCTGTTGCTACAACATGTATTAGATGTTGATTCGATAAACGTAGATTCAGTTATCAACCTCTCCCTTTACCCTGTTGTGTTAGTTTTAAGGATTTTCATCCTGTCCCATCCTATTGTGTGGTTGCATAGCTATGGTCAAACATGTTTCTAAGTTTTTTTTTATCTTGTTGGGATTTATCAATTTTGACCTAACTAGGTTTTTGTGCTTGGATAGCCTGACTGACCCTAGTCGACTACTTTGACCTATGCATTCGACCTGGCAATCGCTGCTCAATTTAATCACTAGGATCTTTTATCCTACAGAGCCTATTTCGAAGTGAGTTTGTAGGTTTGAATGCTACTCTAATACCTAGACAGCCTTATTGCGAATCCTACGTAGTGTCTCTGAGTTGCCTTCTTTGTATGATAAAACTGCAGAAATACTCAGAAACATTGTACAGCATTCTCAACAAGGCTGGTTGGGATCAGAGTGATATTTAAACCTACAAGCTCATTTAGAAATAAGCTGTGTAGATTAAAACATCCTATTGATCCAATTGAGCAAAATAACTTAACTTACTGAATCCCTTGCAACGATAGTGAAGTCAAAGTAGTCGACCAGGGTCAGTCAGGGTGGCCGAGTATAAAAACCTAAGTCAAAATTTGGTGTGCACTGCTGAAGAGTCCCATACTAGGACAAAACAGCTATCCTGTACTACAAGGTTTCAAATGTCCCTCCAACTGATGTTAGTCCATGATCGATTCCAACCTGAAATCAACTAATAAATCTCCACAAACCTCCCGATTGACTTAATGTAGCGCTCATTGTGACTAGCCTCGAGAGGTGATTCGTTAAGTTCCAATGAGAAATCGTGATTGGTAGGGCAAACCTGATGACTGTAAGGACAAATACTCAACAATGACGTTGTGTGATTGTCGCGCTATATCGTGAAGTGACAGAAGTAGCAATTATGGATCATTGGATTCTCACCCAGTGGGCTTAATGGTAACGTGCTAGCCATGGGCCTTGAAGGTCGCTGGTTCGGTCCTTGGCGGGGCGGGGTCATGGGTGCACACTGCTGAGGAGTCCTATAATAGGATGAGACAACTACCCAGTGCCCCCAGATTTCCACTGTTCCTCCTACTGATATCAGTCCGCGGGACAAGAAGAACCAGTGGTTGGAGACTCTAGGTGATATAGCGCAGATGTATACACACATTATCCTCATCCTAACGACGCTATACCAAACTTCACCGTTTTCTCATTTTTCCTTTCGCACCTTATATCTGTCTGAATTTTCTTATCTTCATCTTCAACTTCACTGAATTTTTACTTGGTGTACTGACTGATATGAGCTATGGCAAGTCGGACCGTTATGCAGTAATATCTGGTTCTATGTTGATATTGATAATGATGAGTATCCTAACTAGTAGGAATACAACTGTAACAAGTGTTAAGAGACAAACAAGTGAAGTTCACATATCAGGAACAAGATATATTCAGTTAAACAGGGCAAGGACAACACTGAAAACTTTATACAGTTGTATAGTAGAGTTTCTAACAAGCATGTAAATGAGTTGTATGAAATCAACAATGAAAGTTTAAGAAACCGAATTGTAAAATGTTCAAGAGAATCCGGTCACCACTCACTCCGGGCTAGACAATAAAAAACAGGTTACTCTCCAATAACCAATGTAGTAGGTTATATCATTGATACACATAGAGAGGAATCTATCTTGACTGAGTAAGGAATCTCTTACTTTTAATGCTATACAGATGTTCACATCAAAATGTGTAGATCAGCGTTTGAACAAGGGATCAAATGGTCAAGAAGTCAAGTCAACACATCTCATCTCCCTGAATTACAATATGAATTTTGACACTTTTTATATGAAAGCCATTTGAAACCAGTCTTTCAATTTTTCGTTTTACATGGAATTCACCTTGATTATTCGACTTTTCAGTTTCAACACCTTTTAGTGGTGTGTTCTCTCAGCTGAACAGTCTAATAATGAAGCTTATTCTAATGATCCTGATTGTGATTGGTTGGTACTAGTTGATGAAGTTTTAAACTGTGTGGTTAGATGCAGACCTCCTCATTGGAGTCCGCGAGACGAAAGGATTAGGCGATCGACGACTTTTAGTGATATGACTAGCAATCGATCACAACAGTGCAGAATTATTCACTATTCGACCTCTTCTAAACCTTGAATATTTATACTAACCATTATCTTCAGATTATTTATCCTATCACACAAATTTGTCTAATTTGATATTACTATGTTCTGCGGTATATATAGACGATATAATGCTTCGATGAGATCCTACTGACGATAGAACATCATCATCATCAATATCAACTATCCAACAGACCTTTCTGGTATGGTAGGACCTTGTCCCACCAACATAGCTCGTTGGGTCATTGTGATATGCAAGCCCAACCACAGCGTCAACGTAGCAGCTATCGGTCGATAGAACAACGACTTCTCAACTTGATATTCATCTGACACCAGAAGACAATGGGATTGAAAGTATATTTACTTCAACCGAATGATGATTTATAGCTGAAAATTCAGTCGTTTACATATCCTTGGGCAGGGAAAACATATTGGGATATTCAAAGAGTAAAATGAACTAGTTAGTACATAGGATGATAAAACCACGATAGAAATGAGTAACACTGCATGGGGCAAAAAGGGCGTGGAAAGTTAGATTTAAATTTTAAAATGATAATATATACATATTATAAGTTAGTTTTTCTTAGGGATTAGGCAACCTTAACTGATATAACTTTTTCTATCCACCTATTTCTTATGTAACACTGCGAAGTGTGACAAGTTGACCCGATGCACCTGTGTGCCAGGTTCGACATAGATTTCATCAGTCAGTTAGTCATTTTAACATATCTATTTTGATTGGCTTTCCTGCTGATGTAACTTTGATTTTTCTATTGTTTCTTATCGATTGATAGAATGGGTCAGTGTCAATATGTTTGTTAGTCGCTGACTGACCTGAGTACCAAGCTTCTAAAAATTCTCTAACATTCTTCATATTTCCTCTGTCTAGGATTTCAATATTTTTCCAATCAAATTAACAATCATATTTGTCAATATATGCTGAGATGACCAAAGATACATAGAAAATGTCTTCAAAAGACTAGTAAGGCTGTTCCATGCTTATTGCATACTATGCATATGCAGAGAAGATGGGACTTCAAGTGAATATAGAGAAGACAGAGGTGATGAAGATACCCAACCAACAACGCCACTAACAACAACGAGCTCCAATCACTATCAATGGGAGAAACTTAAAGGAAGTAGTCTCTTTCACCCATCTACCTAGGCAGCACTGTTTCAACTACAGGCGGCACAGGCACAGACGAGGACGTCAAAGACAGACAGGCGTTCGTTAACCTGAAATTAGTGTGGAGATCTTCTGCACTCAGCACGTGGAACGAGATCCGGATTTTCAACACCAACGTCAAGTCAGTGCTGCTATATGGTTCAGAGACTTGGCGCGTTACGAAAGGCATTTCCAACAAACTACAGATATTCATCAACAACTGCCTACGCTGGCTCGTTACTGAAGCTGAGATGGCCAGAAAGAATAAGCAACAAGAAACTCTGGGAACGAACCAACCAAGAACCCATCGTTCAACAAATATGCAGAAGGAAGTGGACATGGATTGGGTATACACTGAGAAGGCCGACTGGGGACATCACGTGTCTGGCCCTGGAATGGGACCCAGATGGGAAGCGACGAGTTGGGCGTCCGTGACGAGGGTGACATGGAGGAGATCGTGCGAGGAGGGAATGACAGCTTCTGGACTGTCGTGGGGCCAGGTTCGAAAGATTTCAGAGAATAGAGCGCATTGGAGACGTGCTACTGAAGCCGTATGTTCCATTAGGAACCCAAGGGACAAATAATAATAAATGCATGTGAGTTTTATTAAGAAATCATAAAAACAAAAAGGATACAAACTTTTACGACAACAATAACGACCTACATCAATTTTTAAAGCTTGTCGAAAGTGTTCAGCAGCCTGTACAGGATCACCTTGCCTCCAACATGAATCACCCAATTCACACCAAGCATCTAGATGTTGTGGATTGAATTTCAACGCTTTAGTCAACCAATGAATTGCTTGACAAGTTAAATCATTCTCCTCCATATCATTTAGATTTCCTGCATACAAGTTTGAATCGATTGCATTGAACACCTAGAAACAACAACAACATAACGAATCATTGAAATAAAGTAAAGACTTGCAAAGATACAGCCTGTTTAAACTTTGGGCTACCAAAAAATGTTTTCCAGAGAGAGAATATATCTTTTCATTAAATTCCTCTATTTCCGTTTGTTTTAATCTGCTAAATATATCTTCTAAATGTATCATGTACTGTCGCAGATTTTTAAAGTCTTTTCAAACTATCATTTCTCAAGATAGAAATGAAACAAAGAAAAAACGTAACGCCAGATGGTAATGGACTTAGAAACTCTTAAAAATACAGCACAGTAACTATACCTAGGATACCTTTATCGAATCAAAGATCTTTGTACTGGTTAATTGAATTACCACCCCCATAATTAACATTCGATTTTGTATTCATCCTTAAGTCTAGATCATACATTAATGTAATATTAGCTATCCGTTTCACATTATTGCCAGAAAGAATAAGCAACAAGGAACTCTGGCTGGCTGGCAACGGGCCAACCAATAACCTATCACTGAACAAATATGCAGAAGGAAGTGGAGATGGATTGGACATGCACTGAGAAGACTATTCGGAGACATCAAGCGCCAGGCCAGTCTCTCGAGTAGGATCTAGATGAGAAACGACGAGTTGGGCGTCCGAAGCGAGGGTAACATGAAGGAGATGGTATGAGGAAGAAATGAGAGCTTGTGGGCAGTCATGGAGCCAGGTTGGAAAGATTGCAGAGAACAAAGTGGAATGGAGACGTGCTACTGAAGCCGTATGTTCCACTAGGAACCCAAGGGACTAATAATATAATATAATATATAATAATTATTGCACACTATTCAGATGTAACTAACATTTTGTCTAAAAATATTGTACAGAGAGAGAGAATTTGTTGAAATATTACATTCTGAGAACCCCATACCGTATCACACATATTGTTTTGGATAAAGCAATTATTATTATTCTTATTATTACTATGAAGATTATTATGGGTGACATATTTATTATACACGCTTCAACAATCCCTTTTACCACTGACCAGAATTCGACAACTAACAATTTAGACTGACAAGTAATTATGCCAGGTCCTGTACTGATTATAGTGAATTGTTGTTAAAGGGTTATGGACCTGCTATAGTGATAGATACTTACAAAAATGTAGATAAGTAACACATAACAGTATGGTAATGCATATCAGCCATCGGAAACACCTGACTGCTATAATACTCCCATCTAGCTAGCAGAACGCCTTCGACCCTATCAGAGCGTAGTAATGTACATTATAATGGTAACAGTTTTTTTGTCTTACTACTACTCACTATCCAACTGACCTTTCTGGTATTGTAGGACTTCGAGAGAACAAGCATTTCACCAACATAGCTCCTTGAAGTCATTGTGAAATGCACACCTGTTAGCTGCGTCAAGGTAGCAGCTATCGCTTGCACGAAAAAAGATCAATCCAATAGTTTATAACTGTTGTATGGTCGTTAAGATACGTAAAGATCATAAGCTTCGTTTTATGGATGAGACGAAAATAAACCGCTGTATATTTCCGCTCGCAATAAAGATAGCGAATAAAGGCAGCTATCATGTATAGTGTATACTACTAAGTATGATACGTCCTTTGCACCATTAAAATGTAAAGAACTCTGCAAGATTGTCAGGAGCTTGTGCCTGTGCTTACCCCCGGTGGTGAGTCGTTGGAAGTAGTCGAAAAGTTCGTATATCTGGGTAGTTGTGTGTGAGTGCTGGTGGAGGTGTAAGTGGTGAAATTTTCAACTTCATATCGAAGGCCGTAGTGGCATACGTCAATCTGAGTCACTTTTGGTACCGTCACGATGTTAGTCTGACTGTATAAGGTAGGGTTTAAAACGCTTCAGTGCGAGCAGTTCTGCTCTGTGCCTGTGAAATCTGGCCTCTCCGAGCTGAGGATATGCGACAGCTCTGTGTTCTCGACTAACGTTGTCTTAGTAGGATTCTTCGTATCCAGTGGCAACACCATTCAAGTAATCCTAAGGTACGACAGCATATATTTGGGCATGATGAAGCTCGCCATTCTATAAGTGAAGTCATCAGAAAACACCGGCTTCGGTGGCTTAGATATGTGTTACATATGTCATTCCAACGTATTCCATACCGTTCATTGTTTGCTAGCCCTCATACTGGACGGAAGAAGCGAAGGGGTGGTTAATGTATGACGTGACGCAGTGGGGTGAAGGATAGTTGTATCGGGTTAGCATCTATTGGTGAATCACGACTCTCTGGGCGAACTACGAGAGATCATGCAACTCAGTGGTTTGAGACGTTATCAGATATGGCTCAGAATCGAAACCCGTGGCGGTTATGTTGTAGCTTTCTGCTTCTGAAAAGTAATGAATGTTTTGTTTTGAATATATCTGACTGGATTGCTCTTCTAATCATTCCTTTCTTATTGTGTTTCTCTTTTAACTCATCCACTTCCCTTTGCTTTATGTCTTCATAATATTGTAATGTTATTTTATATGGCGCATTTCTTGGTACTCCTGCTGTACCACACGTTTGTGTTCTAATAATGATAATAATGCTATATACCCCTAATTTTGCATAGTTTTACCAGTATTTGATGTACGAATTTAAAGTGGGGCATGAAAGATGGATGAGACACAAAAATCAGATACGACGTCGCCACGTCACATTCTCAGAAACCGAGATACAGTTGGAACTACTACTTGAAACTTTCAAACTACCTTCAGTCGATGAAGAATCAACTCAAAGGAAGCCGAAGATCAAGAAGGAGTTTCTATCCAGACGAAGATCCGATCGTAAAATAACTCGAACAGTACACTTCCAAAATGATCTGAAAAGACAGAGTTACTAAATTTTGTTGTTATATGTGTTCTTTTACTTGAGGGGGAAGTGCTATATACCCCTAATTTTGCATACCCTTACCTGCTATTTTGCCTATGACCTTCAAATAACTTGCGTGGTTGTTTTTCACACCTTTACTAGTTTTTCTTTCCTCTGCTCCTGAGGCTGAGCTCTCATTGATTGGATTTAGTGTTGTCAAGGTCATTTAGAAATGTATAGATTCAGCATCGCTGTCAACCATATTGACTTCCATTGCAGAAGGTGTGGAAGGAAGAGAAAGTACCTGACGATTGGAAGAAGGGTTACCTTGTCAAACTGCCGAAGAAAGGAGACCTCAGTGTTTGCAAGAACTGGCGCGGAATCACTCTCCTGTCCACCCCAAGTAAAATATTAAGTCGCATCATCCTGGAGAGGCTTAAAGATGCACTGGATTCAAAACTACGACCGGAACAGGCTGGATTCAGGAAGTACAAATCATGTGCAGACCAAATTGAAACGCTTCGCATCATCATAGAACAGAGCATAGAATGGCAATCAGCTCTCTACCTCAACTTCATCGACTTTGAGAAGGCCTTTGACAGCGTCGACCGACAAGTAATTTGGAAACTGCTTCACTACTACGGAGTACCGCAAACCTTTATCAATCTCATTCAACAACTATATGAAGATGCCACATGCCAAGTAGTTCACAATGGGAAGCTCAGTGATGATTTTGAAGTGAAGATAGGAGTGAAACAAGGTTGCCTACTATCCCCCATGATATTTCTGATTGTGGTGGACTGAATCATGCAGCAAACAGTGGGGAGCTGTGAGAAGAGGGAGATACACTGGACAGCGGAAAAGAACCTAGAAGACTTGGATTTCGCCGATGACTTGTGCCTAATGTCACATAAACTTGAAGATCTGCAGGCAAAAACTAACAAGTTGATAGAAGAGGCAGCGAAGACGGGACTTCAGGTGAATATAGAGAAGATAGAGGTGATGAAGATACCGCACCAACAACTCCAACAACAACAACAACAACAAACTCCAATCACCGTCAACGGGAGAAACTTAAAGGAAGTAACCTCCTTCACTTATCTAGGCAGCACTGTTTCAACTACAGGCGGGACGGACGAGGACGTCAAAGTCAGAATCGGAAAAGCAAGACAGGCCTTCATTAGCCTGAAATCAGTGTGGAGATCTTCTGCACTCCACTCAGCATAAAGCGTGAACAATATTCGGATTTCCAACACCAACTTTAGTCAAGTCAGTGCTTCTGTATGGTTCAGAGACTTGGCGCGTCACGAAAGGTATTTCCAATAACTACAGACATTCATCAACAACTGCTTACGCTCGCTACTGAAGATCAGATGGCCAGAAAGAATAAGCAACAAGGAGCTCCGGGAACGAACCAACCAAGAACCTATCACGCAACAAATATGCAGGAGGAAGTGGAGATGGATTGGCCATGCACTGAGAAGGCTGACTGAGGACATCACGTATCAGGCCCTCGAGTGGAATCCCCATGGGAAGCGACGAGTTGGACGTCCGAGGGTGACATGGAGGAGGTCGTGCGAGGAGGAAATGAGAGCTTGTGGGCTGTCGTGGAGCCAGGTTCAAAAGATCTCAGAGAACAGAGGTCACTGGAGGCGTGCTACTGAAGCCCTATGTTCCACTAGGAACCCAAGGGACTAATAATAATAAATATAAGACAGTAAAAAGCTTTCTATCCACGGTCTGTCTTCTGTTCTTGTCTTTGCGCGTCAGTGGTATTGTTGTTGTGATGGTGGTTGACGTTCTGATTTGCGCGTTAGGTTTGTATTGCTAGTAGGCTGTTAGGTCACACTACCGGTCATAGCAAATAATAATAATAATAATAATAATAATAATAATAATCTATACTTAGCAAGGTGTTTGCAATAAATATAACATGAACTTACTCTGCCATACTGATAACAGAATTCTGCTTTCTCTAATGCAGACACATGCGTAAACATTGCCTCATATTTCTTTAATACAGATATTGTATCCTCAAATTTCGACTGGATTATTTCATTTTTTTTTCGAACTAATTCACATGATTCATTGATCATTGAATGAATCGTATCGTTTCGCATCCATAATTCAGTCATTGAATCATTGAATACACCATATTTATCAGCCCATTCATTTAAATATTTATTTTTGAATTCATATAGATTATGAACAGAAGTTTTAATTTCGTTGAGAATATTTTCACTGTCGAAATCAATAGGATTTTGTAGTTTATGTGTTTCTTCGAGTTGCATCATAACGAGCTATAAAAACCAAAAAGAAATCGACAGTAATGTATGAATGTAAACTTCAAATGCTATACAGTAACTAACAGTCTATAAATAGAATAGATCACCTTAAATATTCAATCCATAGAAACTTTACATCTCTGGGATACACATGCAACATTGTAAAATTGTGAGATGATGAAGAATCATCGTAGATCAGGAGGATAAGTTTTATGGGGTTGAGTTCTCTGAGTTGAATGGTGAAGCTTTCGTTATCATTCTAGACAACATTTATTATTTTTCCATTGGGTTCCTAGTGGAACATAGGGATTCAGTAGCACCCTTCCACTGCACTCTGTTCTCTACAGTTTTTTGAACCTGGCTCCACCAATGCACAGAAGCCTTAATTTCTTCCATACACGATCCCCATGTCACCTTCGGACGCCCAACTCGTTGTTTCTCCTTTGGGTTCCAGTGTTCTTCTATACAGGTTTCCTCATGAATGTTGCCTAGTGTCTCGCATTTTGTTCTGATGACTGACGTGACAATATCAGAGTAGATTATTAACTCTCCAGTTAACAGTTGGGAGAGTCCACTTCCATTCCATCTGCTTTTCTCAGATTCTAAGCACTTCCATGCCATACCTCCTCATCTGTTTTGCAATCAGGGCAGCCTTGCTAGGTTCATACATAGTGCGGACATTCCATGTCCCCATCCTTACTTTTTTTCATCGAGAGAAGACACATTGACCGACTGGCTTCTCGAAGACTTTCACCAACCGGTGTCATCTCGTCTCTCCGATTCCAGAGAGGAATAAGTTTATTTTGATTTTTTATGATTTCTCTGTGCTTTGAATTTTTTTTAGCGATTGAATTGATTTTCCGGGGCAGGGTTGCTAAACCTATACCCAACCTTCCCTCTTTATCCTGGCTTAGGACCGTCTAGTAACTAGTGAACTAGTTAACCAGGCGAGGTTATTGTAGACATCATCAACACAAACTTCACAAAGAAATTTGATGATGCCTTATATTCAATCCACCTTAGTTATATTATCGAGTACAGTTAAAGGCTGAATTTCAAAATACTGGGGGAATGTTTTTAAGAGACTAATATCTCAATCGAAGAGTACATACACACACGGAGTATTCATTTTCAAGAGATTAGCAATGGATTAACAAAATCCCAATAATCAATCAAAGTTTAATTGTAGACTAAACCTTATGATTCAACAAAAGGGAAGTCTCTCCTGAATATATAATTTATAGCTTGATACAGTAATATTACTGGTTATCAAGACAAATTGAATGTTGAATCATCCATGAGCTAAGATATCACCAGATTAACATTTGAATATAATTAAACAATCATGCTGATATAGTAAACGATGGCCAATGGCTAGCAGTGAAATCCAGGATGCGCATTTCGTCGTATTTGGGACTCGTCAGCTGGATGTACCTGCACCCCAGTGAGTGATGTTGTTCCCACCGGGATTCGGACTCGGGAGAGATCGCTTCTAACGCGAGAGCGTTATCCGCTACACCACCGAGCCATGATAGTTACTTCTTGTGCGACCAGTATAGGTTTAGTGTTATTGCTTGATTGCACCCAATCGATCAGTCTCTGTTAGCATATGGGCTCGTGTGCAGATGCCTCGATACTCTGCCTGTGTTTCAATTATATATAGTAATGATGAGCAGTGGCTAGCAGTGGAATCCATGATGCGCATTTCATCCTATTTGCGACTCATCAGCTGGATTCCACTTCCAGCCACATGCATTATCGAGGCATTCACACAATATCCCATATGCCAACAGAGATTGATCAATTCAGTCCAATCAACAACGGTGTCATACAAGCAATAACACTATAATCATGCTAATAATTGACAAATATTCTTTCCAGAGTTAAAGAAACTGAAAAGAAAACAACAGGATACATTTATTATTATTATTATTTCATATTTTAATAATTATTAACAAGAAGACGATGAATAAATACAAAAAGGGGTATGTTTATCATTTGCCAAATTGTTTAATATTTTCAGCTAATTGATTTATCCATATTTTAAACATTTCTTTACGTTTATCTTCAAGACTAGTGAATTCTTTTTCAATATTATACAAATTGGTACTAGTTTGTGATGTCGTCGTCGTCAATATTTCATTTAAACAATTAGAGGCATCCTGTGATTTATTAATATATTCTTCGTATAATAATCCAGTTTCTAATGAATTATGTAATGTTCTTATAGCAGATTTTATAGTCATCTCAATAATGTCAAGTTGTTGTGTAAGTATAGACCATTGAGATTGTAATTTTAACATTAATTCATCAATATGTTTATCTGAATCAAGATGATAAGATAACTTTATCTTATTGTATTGTACAATAATATTCTCCATATTACATAATAATCTTTGAAACTCTTTAAGTAACTGATTTATAAAACTAATTGTACAATCTAATTGTAATTGTAAAGAGAATAATAAAGGATAGTCAATAGATCGATAAATTGGTGTTTTAATTGGTTCTTCTGAAGAAATATGATACAATTTTATAGGAGATATTGAATAACATGTTGTTACTACACCAATACTTATACATCTCCATGATGTACGATATAATATTGAATCAAAAATTAGTTTAAAACATTTCTTGGAGAACATGACTTCCAAAACAACAAGAAGAAGAACTGAAAGTAGGAAATATACAACATTGAAATGACGATAATATGTAATACATAGCTGAAAGATTCCTCTCTCTCTCTTAAAAGTTATACAATCATATCAAATCATAACTATTTACTTAGCAAGATGGTTAACAATAAAATGATCTGTACAAATTAGTTGATAATGATATTGTAGTGAGTACTACTGATGAGAATGGATATAAGTAATATGTGTTGACAGGATAGCAGAAATCATAGGCAATTATCAGTAATGGATAAAGAGAAACTCAAAAGACAATATGGGTGTATTAAGAGTAAATCAAGATAGAAGTAGAAAAGGAAATGAAGCGCATTGTTCAAAGGCAGAAGATTTACTCAAAGATGAAACTAACTCTATCCAAAAGTTTAACAACCAGATCAATAAAATCTTGAACAAACTCTTCAAAGCAGAAAAAATAAGAAAGTAAAACAAATGAAGAATGAAGTCGAATGGACCTATCCTTTCTTGGTTCTACGGCAGACCAAAAATACACAAAGCAGATGTCCCTCTACGACCAATTATCTCACCTCTGGGAACTCTAACATACAACATATCAAGAGAACTTTCGAGAAAACTGAAACACCTCGTTCAATCATGCGGATATTCCATCAAGTCATCAACGCAATTCTCAGAAAAGATCAAAAGCATTAACATAGAATACGACAAATTAATGATATCCTTCGATGTCACACCACTATACATATCCATCGAACCTCAATTGGCCAACGAAAAGATATCCCTCCTGCTCAATGAAGACACAAGTCTGATGGAACTCATCAACCTTTACCTGACAACATACTTCCAAGATAAACAAACACACGAAAGGAACTACAGTGGCATCACGGATATCTGGACTAATTGCAGAAGCAGTGATGCAGAAATTAGAAACCAACATTCTACCTGTAATTAAAGCAAACATTTGGATTCGCTATGCAGACGATATTTTTGTCATCAATAAAAAAGATGATATAGAAAACACTCACAGTTTGATCAACAACGTGTTCAATGACATCAAATTCACAATAGAGAAGGAGTCAAACAACCAACTACTATTTCCTGGATGTTTTAGTCGGCTAGACGAATGCAGAAAGCTGGCAACCCAAGTGTATAGGAGGTCAACAAACACCGATCAAATCCTCAACTACATCAGGAACAACCCAACAAGGCACAAAATCAATTGCGTGCAAACTCTATTTAAAAGAGTGAGAACACACTGCAGTTCAACGACTTCACACAGAAATGAAGAAAATTACTTGATGTCCACCCTTAAGAAGAACGGCTATCCACGAAACTTTATCAGAACATGCCTATCCCGTACAACATCAAGTACAAAGTCATCCACAGAAATCAACAAACGCATCACCCTACCATATATAAGGAATATATCAGAAATCATGACAAGATCACTGAGACCACTTGGATTCGGTGTGGCCCATAAACTAACGAATTCTCTCCAAAAACTATTATGTAGACTAAAGGATACAATAGCCAAAGAAGACAAACCCAATATCATTTACGAAATCAACTGCAATAATTGTAGTCAACACTACATTGGACAAAGTGGTCGTCCTCTTCGCCTTCGTCTACATGAACACCAATTGGCTATTAAACGTCATGACATTTCATCACTCATTTCAATGCACGTGGATATTTATGGACATGAATTCAATTTCGACTATGTAGAATTTTTGGACGGAGAGGAAACACAAAGAATATCAGAGAATTTCTAGAAGCTTGGAATTCAGGTCAGTCAGCAATCAATGGAGAGATGTAGAGATATAGACCCAATCTACCATCCAACGAGAAAGGTCAGAGGTCAAGCACAGGAACAGTCAACAGGAACATCCATACAGTCAATGATACAACAATCAACAGAAACAACCAATCACAAACCAGTTCATCAAGGCAAGCTACTAAATCACTAACGGAGAAATATTGACAGCTCACTTCAAGTAAAAATTAGACCTGATGATCTGGTCCAGAAAGACGATGAAAGCTTCATCATTACACCATCCAACTCACAGAAAACAACACAGCCATGAAACATGACTCCAAAAGACCATTCTAGCAACTACTAAAATAACCAATAAGGCTCCTTTATTTATGAAGAGACTATCTTTGTAGTCAAAATACAGTAACTTAATTGGTTACTTTAAAGGTTGCCGAGGTGGACTTTACACTCACTTGTGAATACTCCATCAAAAGAGCTTTATCAATTGCACATATACATATTCTGACTACTTAGTTAATTCGTGGGCTTGAACCAACTAGGATGGCTGCAACAAATGGTAAATACAATAAGTTATAGTCTTTCCTTGTGCATGATGGTTTTTCGAAGAGTGTCGTATTAGAAACAAATGACGGATGACCAGACAAAGACATAGTTACAATTCATCATACAGAAAGGTATTTCCGTTAGAATCATTAAGGTAGCAGAGATCAGTGTTTGAAGAATGCGTATTACTGACTTGATTTATATTGATCTTTTCTGAACAAATAGTATAATTAATTTGAAGAGAAACCTGTTATCACGTTAGTCCTCAGAAAGATGTCTTTTCAGCCTGTCATGCAAACCGAATACCGATAGTCAGCATTATTGACAATTTAATTTTCATCGATTTTTGGTGGGGCAACCTGCTAATAAATCGGAAGAACAGGTATCCACGCATTTTCATGGAAAGTTGTTTGCACAATTCCTTGTCAACTAAGAAGTCAACCTCGAAAATCAACAAACGGATTATCCTACTCTAACCACATGAAGAACGTCTTCGAAATCATGATTAGATTATTAAAGACTTTGGGGATAGCTGTATCTCACAAGCCCACAAAAACCCCCTTCATTCACTGTTATGCAGGCTAAAAGATACAATGGCAAACGAGGACAAACCAAATATCTACAGAAAAAACTAGCAGTGAAGCGTCATGACATATCTTCCTTCGCTCATATCAATGTATATGCACAATTGCTGACACGAATGTGACTGGGAAAATGTGAAAATCCAGATAGAGGAAATACAAAGAATGCCAGGGAATTTTTAGAAGCTTGGTATTCAGGTGAGTCAGCAGTCAACAGACATACTAGCATTGACACAACCTATCGACCAATAAGAAACAGCCAGAAGGTCGAATTTCAGGTCAACCAATCAAAACAAATATAAAGACAATGACAAGACCTTGACAGAAGCAACGAGTCACACACAAGGCCATCAGGACAAGCTACTAAATAAACCTTATACCTCACTTCGTTTTGAAGTTTGTGCTGATGATACAGAGGAACAGCCAACAGGAAAATCTATGGAGTCAATGACACAACAATCAAAGAAAACAATTAATCACAAACCAGTTCATCAGGGCAAGCTACTAAATCACTTACGAAGAAATATTGACAGCTCACTTCATACTGAAGTTAGTGCTGAAAGACGATTAAAGCTCCATGACTAAAGAACTCAGCTCAGAGAACACAATACAATCAAGTAAATGACTGTCTTAGTGGATATCAATTATAAACACTCCTTTTTGCGTCTCAGCAATCTTCTCGTTTCCTACAATATGAATAAGTGCCAAGATGATTCAATCAACGAGATAATGGGGACTTGTATCGACTGACTTGACTAGAACATATGACATACGTAACAAGTCGCCTTGTGTTAATGTCTAATGTTAACTGGAGTAGGACTGACTTAGTAAAACATCAAGGTAACTACATCAAAATGTGACACTAGTTCATAAAATGACTGATATTTTGTGTGAACTATGTGCTGGAGTAAGCACCATCTGATCATGACCCTTGAGATGTTTGGAAGAGAAAATGATCATACGTCCTAAGTGATACGATTTTAATCGAATAAAACTCCTACGCACTCACTACTTAATTTTCACCGAGATGTAATCTACTTATATCCTTCTCCTTTATACGTTTTAATGTTTATCTCACAATTTATGTATAGTGAACTAAACCGATAAGACGTTTGCTTCAGGTTTTGCTTATTTGTAATAGTTAATCCAAAGTTAATAGAACCGTGGGTACTGCTTAATGTTTCCAGACAAGCAGATAGAAAATAAGATGTCAGATAAGAGATAATAACAGTACAGAATGTGTACACGAGTAAAAGTTGGGCATTACGGTACATTGCAATTCCATTTTAGTCTGTTTATTAGAAATGTCATACAGTGAAACAGCAATGGTGTTAGGCCCAATAAGAAATCACTCAGTCTCGACTTACCAACTCCTATGACCTTTTAAAGCATAGATTAAACGATATACACTTAGATGACAATGAAAAAATGGTTAGTTTTTAACAAAACTAGCCTTTACACAAATATACCGATCGACATGGTCCTACAAGCAGTTAGAAATGGGCTTAAGGATGACAATGAGCTTACGCAGCGAACTAAGGTGCCGATCAAGCAAATCATACTACGACTACCATTGTGTCTAACATCTACACTATTTAGGTTTTAAAAGAAAATATATAAACAACCTGAAGGTGTTGCCATGGCATCATCAATATCCTCAGACAGACATATTTAAGGAGAGTTGGTAACAAACATTCAAATATTTAGTCCTACTTCAAAGATATGGTTCTGATATGTAGATGATACATTTACAGTATTGAAACCGGAATACATCAACAGGATCTTGGTACATATAAATTCGGTAGTGAATGCAATCCAATATACCTATGACTTACAAAGTGAAGAAGGTGAGCTAGCAATGTTGAATCGCAAGATTAAACAAACACAAGACGGAAGATTAGAGATTAGTGCCTATAGGAAACCTACCCATTCGAATCGTTACTTAGTCTTTAAATCCTCCCACCTCATTTCAGTTAAAGTAGGCCTAGTTAAATCCTTAAGTGATAGAGAGAAACAGCTTACTAGTGGACTGGGAAATCTGCGACAAGAAATTAGACACATTAAGAATACCCTACATCTCAATAATTACCCACTTAAGTTTATAAATAAATTTATAGGAAACCAAAATAAAAATATTAGCAGTAGTAATACAGGTGTTATTGATAATAATTCCCCTACTAATGGTAATAATGGTGACAGGGTTGAGAGAGAATTCTAAGCCTCTGTTATGTTACCATACAAGGAAGGCACCTCACAAGCATTACGAAGATTTTCTCGATAAGCGTGAGATTAAGGTGACATTGAAACCAACAAGCTCACTTTGAAACAAGCTTTGTAGGTTAAAATATCCTATCGATGCAATTAAGCAAACTAATCCGGTTTACCAAATCCCTTGTAATGTTTGTGAGGTGAAGTACATAGGTCAAAGCAGTCGATTATAATAACGCAGCACAAAAACTGAGTTAAATCAAACTTAGTAGATCCTAATAAGATAAGAAATTTAGAGGAAAGCTCGGCTATAGCTCTGCATGCGATGACATACAATCACACAGTAGGGTGGGATGGGGCGATAGCGCTAAAAGCTAACTTAGTTGGGTGGAGGGAGGGGGAGATTGATAACCGAATCTTCTTTTATTCAATCAACACCAAATACATGCAGTAATAGAAGTGATTGTGCACCTGTGTTCCAGATATATAGAAAATTCTACTACCCTTGTCATCACAGAGAAGGAGAGGAAGTTAGGAGTATATAAAGTCTGTCTTGAAGTTGTGGAGTTAGCTTTCTGATATGAATATGGACAATAAATTGTGTCGCAGACGTTATCCAGTAAATGCTGATGTTCCTTCACTGTGTAACATTTCTAGTAGGAAGACTAAAATGGAAGTACTGAATGTAATAGCCATGTACTGACCTAAGCAACCACACTTTACATCAATGTGAAGAGGTTGAAGTTGACGAAAAGAAGGACTAAAAAATAACACCAAAAAAACATAATCCATAAGCGAAATTAAGACACTTTGTCACTTAAACTATACATATAGAACTTAGAGTCTTTCATTCTAAGTCATAGGCATTTTGATTGGATAGATGTACACTTTAAGCTATATTGAACTTTTACACATTAATTTGATAGTTCTATAATCACCAAACGTCTGAATGGAGCTCAAAAACAGGAAACCAAGAAAACAAGGCACGCTTCAGATCTGGCCGTGAGTGTATCGACCAGATATTTACATTTCGCCGGCTTGTGGAACGCAAAGATACTTACAGACGCCCGACATTAGCTGCATTTCTCGACCTGAAGACGACGTTTGACTGAGTCGATTGAGAGATCTTCTGACAATGCCTATAATCGAAAGGGGTACCAAATAAGTATATCACTTTTGCAAATGATCTTTACTTAAACACCCATGGGAATGTTAGAGCCTATGGTGTTGTCAGGTGAGCTGTGTACATCGAGTGGTTTAAATCAAAGATGCCCACTCTTTATTCCTGTCAAATTTTGTCATAGATGTTCTTATGGAGATGCTCTTCTCATCATATGACACCACAGGGGTTGATCTAATCACAATAGACTCCTTGGTAGATCTAGAGTGAGCAGATGAAAGTTCTTTTAGGTGAAGACACTAACGAAAAACCGAGGATTCTAGACGCCTTGAGCAGAAATTTTAGAATGTTTCAGATAGGTTTCTCGTCACTCAAATGCTAATTTCCGCCCCAGGACTAGTCTTCAAAGGTACCTCGTCTCACAATAGAGGGTGAAGTGGTTGAGTGAGTTGGCTTTCACCAAACTACGCTATCTGCGGCGCCAACGCGATAACCGATTACCTATTAAGGGTCGGGTGTATCGTGCTGCGGCTTACTCTGTTCTACTCTGTGAAATATAGCTATTAAAGGAAGAGGACATGAGAAAGCTTTAGGTGTTTGAATACCGTTGCCTTCTTGGCACAGACCATGCTTCCTGGTGTCATCACGTGAGTGGAGTTTTAGGGGAGAGAGGAAAGTCAGTTGATGCGGTCATAAACCTTCATAGACTTAGATGGCTGTGATATGTGTTACGTATGCCTAGTCACCATTTTTCTCATCGTGGAACCTTGTCTGAAGTACGTTCAGGCTGCCAATACTGCATGAAATCTTAGGTTTGAACCACTTTGGGAGATGTAGACTAGCCGACTGGGGTCCGCATAACAACATAATCCAGCACTTGGATACTCTAGACGATATGGCTCAGAATCGATGTCAGTAGCACAGATGTAACCACACTCTATCTTCTTTACCTTTATGCTTAATTCAGCATTTTATCGTTCCCCCTTCCTCTCTGTCATTGCATTCTGCTGCTTTTGACTGATTTTTCTTGATCTCTTCATCTTAGTACTTTGCCACGTTTTGTGCTTATATGAGGTGTGACAACGCAGTAGTCTGTAGAACTACAACTGAATCCTAGGCATGTCACCTAATTTCCAAACATCGACTTCAGTTGTGACATGAAGCCCAAAGTGGGAGATGACATCCGCGTAACAAAGCCATTCTGCTCAGATTTTAGCTGACTTCATCTCGTATTGCAGCTGAACGTGGATGGCGCACACCTGTTGAACTCCTACTTGCAAATATGGCCGACACTGGGGAAGACTAAAAGCCCCGAAGGTTAGTGAGGTCTTTTTAGTAGGTATCTATTCAGGCCCATGTAAACCAGTAGAAGTACATGAGTTCATAAGGGATATGGTGACGTAACTGCGATCGCTCTGTGATTCAGGGCTGCAACTAAGCAAAGGTCTGACGGTATCACTAGAGCTAAAGATTGTTATTTGTGAAACCCATGCTAGGTCTTTCGTTAAGCAGATATCAAGGCATAATTCCAAACGTGGTTGCGACAAATGCCTCGATCAGTGTACGAGGAAACTTAATCGTATGACTTTTCCCTCCATGCGCGATACTCTTAGAACGGACCGTTGCTTTCGAAGTTAAACAGACACTCACCATCACCGTGGAAGGTTTCCATTTGAGAAAGGCATTCCCACTGGACTCTATGCATCTATTATTACTAGGGGTTATTTGAAAGATGCTTGGTTTATGGAAGCGCCTTGCTTCATCTAGACAGGATGGTATGAGTAACCATATAATGGACCGAATTAACGATCGGTTACTTAGCTCCCACGCAGTCACCCTATGTGAATTTCAACGTAAGTACCGATCATTGGCTGAGACTGATATATGGAAGGCTACCGAATGTCGCTTATTCCTTTTGTACTTAGGTGTAGCAAATCTCAGAGGTATTTTATCCTCCATTTTGTATCACCACTTCATGGATTTATTTTTAAGCGCTTACCTACTAAGTCACCCACTCCATTATTGTGACTATCTAGGCAGTATTGCAGCAATGCTTAATAAGTTCGTCCGTAATTTTCAGGCTATATCTTGAATTGAAAATCTGGTGTATAATATTCACGGACTACTACACGTGTGAGATGACGTAGCAGAGCACGGGCCACTGGATTCCTTTTCTAGCTCTTCCTTCGAGTCATACATGCACAACATACAGAAAGTAGTAACTGGTCCGAGCAATCCCGCGGTCCAGGTCAGCAAACGGCCTGTCGAGAGGTCCCTCGTTGACAAAGAGACTTCTGCAGTTGCGTATGGAGAAAGCGTATTCATAGATGTCAATAAACAAAGGCCTTTTAAAGTAGGTTTACTATTAGTGTGGTATATCCACACAACTGAGTTTTACTTGGGTGGCGACGTGGGATTGTAGCTCAGGTTTTGAATGACAGTTTCTGTTTCGGGGGTACTGCAATCTCAAGTCCTTTTTCATTAAACTAATAGATTCGGCAGACATTGGGATTTACCAGGTTGACAATTTTGAAGCAACCACAAGTATAGTCGATTACGCAAGAATGTCGACTAAATGTATGTGTTTGCTTTTGAATAACTATTCCGTAGTAATCCCCTTACTTCACACCTTCCAGATGGAACTCAGTGAACGCTAGCTGTATAAACATAGATAGTAATTCACACATTTATAGCAGAAATTATCGTTAGTTCATATCCCTTGGCATTCTTTCACATTGTATACATATCTCTTTTAACATGTATGTGTGACTTTTTGTTTTACCTCTTGTGTATGTGTCAAAGTTTATAAGTAAAGCGTGAGCCCTGCCTTCCCTTTTCTTTGTCTATTGAAAAAGCATACATTAATCCGTTTTCTTTTTCACATGTCTAATTATGCAGTTGCAAAAGTACCAGCCCTAAGCACAGTAGTTATAGTATCCGAAACATAACTTATTCAAGGCTACGTTAGGATACTTGAAGGCTACATGTGGCTTGATGTGAAAAACCATAGCCAACCCATTGAGGGTTTTTGATCGTACAGGTTTACGCCGCTTGCGACTTATGGTATTAGCATCTTATGTTAATTAACTGTTACAGGCTCGCGAGGCATATGAAGGTTTTGAAAAGCTGGATAGCAGTCCAAAATACCTAACAACATCGGATACGGAGTCAGCCAGTGATGTGAGGCGTAGCCGGTATGCATTTAATTTTCAATAATTTCTGTTTTCAGCTGCATTGTTAGAAAAGCGAAAGCACGTGAAACCGGGGTGCCTGAAGATTACGTGTCTCGACTTCTGGAAGATGGCAGCTTAGATTTCAGTTCAACAGTATTCAGAAAGCCTTTCGCCGTTCATTATCCAGCGGGTGATATAACTTCCTAGGGTTCATCAGATTGTAGCAGCGAATCTTTATATGCGCATGATTCATCCAGTTTGCCTACTCTCAATACCGCCCCGTAAGTTCATCTTTTACTCTCAAATTAGACACAGGCGTACTGTGAATATCGAAGTACAAACGGATACTTATGAATGCAGTCTCAAGCACCTTAGTGACTTATCCAAATGTTTGGATAGAATTGAAAAAATAATGACTAGTTTCATGGAAATGAGTTCCTTGCATAAACAGTTACTTCAATGAATTCTTCCGAGAAACTTAAAGCCTCCGGAAAATGGCTTACTGATAGCGACTTCGGAATTCAAGAATTCGAACGTGATATGACTGATCCAGAATATCGCAGATCTGCAGCACAGGAATCGTCCTGCCTTGTTGAATCGGATCTTGGTGTTTCTGTCCGTTGCATAATGGGTACGCTAATGGAACCCAACTTACTCTTAGTCTTCTACTCAAGAAAGCGTCCCTTTAAAAAACGTTAGTGTCTAAACTTATTAGCAGTAAGTTTTCGTTTTCATTTTATCACATACAAAGATGTCCTTTTTAACATCCATAGGGAGCGACAACAAAGAAGTAATTGTCGAGTTAAATCCGGACTCATATCCAGAGGTGGTTTCATAAAAGTCGCGAGACTGAGGATGAGGGGAAAAGGCTGAAGAAAGGAAAAATGGTGAGCTAAATATATGTTCCATAATACAATTATCATAGGTGACTAAAAAGTGCGCCCGAAGTAAACGATTGCTGGGTGGGAAAAATAGGTAACTTCAGTATGACAATCAGACGTACTAACAATCTGTTTCAGATGAGAGGTATTTTCTGGACTTGCTTACAGAAAAGTTTTGCCAGTCATACCATGCTATACTATATATAGTATGACTGAAATAGGTATGTATGCTTTCGTTTCACCTTGAAATAAGATGGAATGTCCATTCCAATGACTGTAACAACTGAGCTTCAACACTCGAACTTGTGGCGAAACGTGATCGAATGTCTGAAGGCACCTATTAACCAAAGCAGTTTACAAATAACTTCCCAACTAAAGCTCACCTGACGTTACGCAGTAACTGAAACGAGCGCGCTACCAGTATCCAAAACAATCCAATATCTAGTTTCGAAAACAACGTATGAAGTCATTTTCATTCTGTTAACTAAGCAGCTGTAGCAACAAAAATTATTCACAATCATTATCTTTGGTTCTACGAGGTTCAGCAGCAAGAATGACCCTGAACGTTTTAACGGAATTTCTAAACTGACGTCATACAGTCACACGGTCATCGAAGCCATTAGACAGGGTGTTGTGCTTTTTGCATTGTTTGTGAGCCATTTTAAGTAGCGCTAGTCTGGACGCATCGATATTTCGGCGTCATCTTTAAAATGTACTATGCCCACTAATGTTACTTTTCACTCTTTCATGGCCTTACACAATTAAACAATTTACAAGCAGAAGGTACTGGTGAAAAGCCATCGGATTTTAAGATTTGCTGCAGTTCAACTCACAAGAAGTGAGGTTTTCACCTGGCTAACTTCACTGAAGCAATGAACTAGCATGTAGCGCCACATGCACCCCCAAAATCAATAGCCCAGGGTTCAACGACATTCAACATTGATGCTGACCTTGACAGTTTAACTGGACTCGCTAAGCTGAAGTCACCCGATCAAGCATCCTCGCCATTTGGCACGCTGTCGTGTTACGTTGCACTGCTCGTATTCGACTCTCTAGCCAGTTAGTTGGAACGCATCGGCATTTCGGCACAACCATCCAAATATACTATTCCATCCGACTACGCTATCGTGTTCTTCCTTGGTCTCGTGGGTCTCTCGTGGGTATATAACAAGTCCGAATAATTAGTGATTGGTCTTTGCGTCTGTCAAGTTCGCACAAAGACAAATCCTAAATTGGTGAGCCCAATGTGATCACATATCCCGACCAATAACAAATATTGAATTGGTGAGCCTGTTCCATTTTATATTTGTATATTGCTTTCATTTCGATAACATTTACATATCCATTTACTACACTCTCTCATGTCCGACCACACTCCCAAGCTTATTCGTATTAAGCCGACTACGAACACCATCCAACTCGTGCCATATTGGCCAGACAATGCGGAAACATGGTTACTGTATGCCGAGGCAGATTTTCGAGAACAGGGTGTCTCACATCTTCATTGTCGATTTCTTGCTGTCATACGTTCACTACCGCGGGGATTAAACAGGTATGTTACAACACACATGTTTAATCCCGAAGTAAGTGACCCTTATGAACTTCTTAAGGCCGCACTCTTGAAGAAAAGCGATCTCATAGATCGCCAGCGTCTAGACGAATTACTTCGTAACATCGGGCTAGGCAGCAACTCAGCTACTGAAGTCCTCGCACGCATGCGAGAAGTTATGGGTGCACGAACATTCGACGATGGCCTCTTCCGAGAACTATTTCTCTCGAAACTACCACAACCGATGCAAACCGTGTTGGTGACACTCCAGTCAGTCCCACTCGACCACCTGGCAGCCTCGGCAGATAAAATACTGCAGATTTCCATCAGACCTGTCTCCAACGTATATTCTGTCTGCGACAAACCAGAGCGCCAAGATTCAGAGGTGACCAAGTTGTGCAACTCTGTGAAACTGTTGCTACGATCTTGAAGTCCTAGCTCACGCAGCTCTTCACAGAAACGCACCTTGACGCATCGCAGCAGATCGCGTGGTAGATCCAAAACTAAACCTAACAGGGTGGAAAACCCTGAATAGTGCTGCTTTCATAACACTTACGGAGACAAAGCCAGAAAATGTCGGAAACCATGCCGTTTTAACAAGGACACAAACTCGGGAAACGGTCACGCCGGCACGTGTTCACGGCAACCGTAGCCGGCGGAAACAGCCGTTTGCTCTACGTCACGGATTTTGTGACGAAAGTTCGCTACCTCGTCGACACCGGCTCAGAAGTCAGCGTCCTTCCCGCACCGACAAAGGAGCGTCATCATGACCCATCCTTCAATCTCTGAGCAGCCAACGGCAAGGCAATCGCGACATTCGGGAGACAGTATACCTACCTCAACTTAGGTTTACGTAAACCTATCCACTGGATTTCCCCCTGGCTGACGTTTCCATGCCAACCATTGGCGTAGATTTGCTAAACCATTACGATCTACTCGTAGATGCTCGCCGTCGACGACTGATAGATAACAACACAAAGTTATCTATTGGCGGCACCACCCATGTAGGTCCGTGTTTGGCCGTCATTAGAGCTAAACACTCAGGCAACGCGTCCTACCAGGCAGTGTTGGAGAAATATCCAGAGTTGCGACGACGGAAGCATACTCTTCCGTGCATAACCAGCAATGTTATGCATCACGTGACAACCACAGATCCACCTGTGGCATCCAAAGCGCGCCGTTTACCCCCCAATAAGCTCAAAACGGCGGAGAGTGGATTCGACCACATGCTCGAACTGGGCATTATCAGATCATCAAACAGTCCTTGGGCATCGCCATTGCACATGGTTCCCAAAAAGGATAGCAAAGACTGGCGTCCAACCGGTGATTACCGAAGGCTCAACGCCAAAACAACTCCGGACTGCTACCCGATACCTCACGTTTACGATTTGACTGCAACCTTATGCAGAATGAACATTTTCTCCTAAATCGACTTGGTCAAAGCGTGCGCCCAGATACCTATGGCAGCAGAAGATATTGCGAGAACAGCCATTATTACTCTTTTTGGCCTGTTTGAATTCCTGCGCATGCCATTTGGTCTTCGGAATGCAGCACAAACATTCCGACGCTTTATGGATGATGTCTTGCGTGGTTTGAATTTTGTTCATGTCTACATCGATAACTGACTAACGCTTACCGAAGGCTTAACGCTAAAACAACACCGGTGGATAGCCCAATTATTGAAATTCTTGATGATGTGCCCGGTGTTGCACAGTTGCAACAACCATTGGCGCAACAGAAAACACAATCGGGCCAAACCGTCAGGTTCTCGGAGTATTTAAAGTCGTATTCAACTTAGCGATGTGTGTGCCAACCATACTCTTTCTTTTACTTGCAAAATTTTTTTCTAGGCACTATTTTTCTTATTGACCGGCAATGCACAAACCCTCGTACACTTTGCTTTTTCATGTCAATTTTCTTTATTGCCATGTAGTGAAACTTTAAAAAAACGGTGAAAATAAGCGTAAATTTTTATTTTCGATATATTTGTATATGCATAATTCCCACTTTTACGAAGCGTTTTCATGGTATTAAAGACTTTCATTTATATTCCAGGTGCAACGAGCACTGGATGGAACGTCAAAAGGAACTGAGGACAGTGACCGACGTCCAATTCGATTTATTGTATTTTATTATCTAATTGCCACGACACTAGAACAAGTTCAGACAACCAGGGGCCGCTTCACGCAGCGAGCCCATCGAAAGAGTTTACCAGTGGGAAAACACTAGGTTTTTACTTCCGGCTGGTATCGTCTTAGGGTCCTCACGAACCCACTGGAGGGAGTGATCTGTAGCGTCACACACTTCCCCTAAATCAATAGCCCAGGGTTCAACGACATTCAACATTGATGCTGACCTTGACAGTTTAACTGGACTCGCTAAGCTGAAGTCACCCGATCAAGCATCCTCGCCATTTGGCACGCTGTCGTGTTACGTTGCACTGCCCGTATTCGACTCTCTAGCCAGTTAGTTGGAACGCATCAGCATTTCGGCACAACCATCCAAATATACTATTCCATCCGACTACACTATCGTGTTCTTCCTTGGTCTCGTGGGTCTCTCGTGGGTATATAACAAGTCCGAATAATTAGTGATTGGTCTTTGCGTCTGTCAAGTTCGCACCAGGACAAATCCTAAAGGTATGCAAGTAGTTGTGTTCAACATCTTTCACGAAATGTGGCCAATTGATAGTTTTGAATTTTCGTGTCTAGGCCTATAGGCTTAATCCCCTCTGTTTCATTAAACTACCTCGGGGGATTAGGAATCCATTCCGTTTTCCTGCTTTTGCCTCCTTAGGCTGCAATTACGTATAGGAAACTTTTTATGTAGTTTGTAGACTCGGTTAAGAAGGAACCAACAAAACTCCAACAAAGTGTGGTAACTTATGCAGCTCTTTCCTGTGTTGTAGCTTCAGGTTATTGATGCTAGCATCAATAAGGCTTAATAAAGGAAATGTGGAATTGAAAAATACTTGATGAAGAGAGGAAAATGGAAAACACGGCGGCAATACGCGTGTCAGCTGAAAGTAAGGGCCAAAAATCATAGTAATAGGCAAGCGGAATGGTGGGTTTATTGGGCCAGCAGGTTTTTGGATAACCCCGCGTGCCAATTCTTTTCCCACCAGTTTTCTGAATCACACCTCGGTGGCATTTCATAGAACACAGACCTAGTGAGAAAAGTTTGAACTTGACCATATTATCAGTTTTTCAGCTCACTATATCCGCTGAATTTCTAAGCGGCTGCTCATTCTGGGTCAGTGGTCATTGCTTAATACGGTGAGCGTCTTGATGAAGGTATATACGCCGTTACCAGGCCGCTCCGTTTTCAACGGTAGTTGAACGTGAATAGTTCTATTTATCGGAAACGCCCATGGTTACCGGAGCCTGGGATTTGTTGATTATGAAAGCAACTGGGGAAGCCTAACACCTACCGACCGCATGGCTGCCACTGCTAGTGAAAACGGCGGACAACATGTCCTGAATTCATACTAGGCGCATTCAAACAGGCCTATTACTTCTGGATGCTGGAGCTAAAAAAGGCATTTGGCTCTGTCATGATACTGAGCATGACTGTGAGTCTTTGATGTGAAATGGTATGAATGTGCATGAATTATACATTTCTGGAATCACCACTGAAGTAAAATAAGTGAACAACCTGTGCATACATACTCTCATAAATTTTTCATCATTATCCCGAGCAGAATGTACGAGTTTTATTTTTCTCCAGGTACTACCTGTAATGTCCAGATACAAACCTCATTCCTTTGTTTATGCGAGGGAAACACTTCCACTTGTCCAACTTGTAAATTTTTGCATACTTATTCTGCTGGGATATTCTAGTGACAGAATAGGTAGGGACTGAGATTACCTACCA